GCGAAAATTGCAAAATGTTTCAGGACTTTTCTGTTCATCTCGATCCGTTCTACCTTCTCACGAGCTCGTGGACAAGTGTTATAACTCACCCTGTATACACACTTTAATCAAATTCTCTTCGCGAGTTGATATGTTACGCTGTGATGGAGACAAGAGAACTCGTACTATGCAACTATATACACATCTTATAGATCTCTCAATCACATGCCATTTGTTCTGCAGACCACAGTACAGAGATAACAATAATCCTATGGTTGAAGCAACCATATAATTGGGTATTCTAACCGAATGTTATTTATCAAAAGACTAAGACTTGAGAGAATCGTATAGATGAGCATACCCTAACAGCTACATTCAATGTAATATCAATGTAATTTGAACGTGCATATATATTTTTTCTAATCATAGAGAATGTTGTTGTAACAACAATAACCATTTTCTCCGTGCGCCCATATTTTACAACTGAAATTTAGTTGCCACAAGCAGCTTTTAAGCTACGGCTACTACATTTTTCTTTCCGCGATGCCACCGTAACGAACACTCGTTTACGACGAATCGCCGCTTCAAAATAATATGTTTAAACTAACTATACTCCACATTGTATTGCCGAAGGGGGTCACTTTTGTGTAGACCGAAACGTACAATTTTACCGCAACGTTAAGTAACTTGTAATATATTTTTTGACGACTCGTCGCTTCAAAGTAATATGTTTAAACTGAGTAGTTGTAATCCACATTGTATTGCTGAAGAGGGTCACTTTCGTGTAGATCACAACGTACAATTTTTCCGCAATGCCAAGTAACTTCTAATATATTCTATGATGACTAGAGCTGTGACATTTTCATGTTATCTTTATACGCAAAATGTCGCAAAATGCCCCAGGAACGTTTTTAATGTCATTTCTTTACACTTTGGAGTCCCCGACTTCGTTTTAACACGTTTTGAAAACGCAAAATGACCCTCCACACGCAAAATAACGCAAAATTATCCTCAGCACGCAAAATAGCGTTCAAGATAACGTAAAAAGTCGCAATTTTCCTTAGTGAACATTTCTAACGTCAATGTTGTATCCTAAACCAAAGAGATTTGTGCGTAAGACTAGTTTTGTTTAATTTTTTTTAGACATGTTACTGCTTTTATAGCCTGAAAATGATATGTAATTTCAGTAATTTGTTCCATGCTATTTTAATATGTTACGTTTTATGTAACTTTTTTAATATACGTTTAGCCTTAATACAATGTCGTTAAGGCCCGGTTTCACCAACGTTGTTTAGCTTTAAGCTTAGCTTAATTCGTTGTTTGTCTCTTTCTAAAGTAATAGTTCGAAAGAGACGAAGAACGAATTAAATTGTAAGTTTCAAGTTAAGCGACGTTGTTGTAACCGGGCTCAAGTCGTCTTAATTGAAGCCCTGCCCATCTCTGACCACGGCATTATCAAAAGCATTATCAAGATAATGCGAAGTCCGGAGGAACAAAATGCAAAAGATGCCAAAAAATAACATCAAAGTAACGCAAAATCTGGAAAAACGAAACGCAAAAGATACCAAAAACTAACATCAAAATGTCACACCTCTAATGATGACTTAAAGCTTCAAAATAATATGTGTAAACTAACTAGTTCTAATCCACATTGTATTGCTGAAGGGAGTCACTTTTGTGTAGATCGAGACGTACAGTTTTACCGCAACGTTAGGTAACTTCTAGTATATTTTATGATGACTTATCGCTTCAAAATAACATGTGTAAACTAGTTCTAATCCACATTGTATTGCTGAAGGGGGTCACTTTTGTGTAGATCGAAACGTACAGTTTTACCGCAACGTTAAGTAACTTCTAGTATACTCGTATTGTCGAAGAGGGTCACTTTTGTGGACTGAAACGTACAATTTTACCGCAATGTCAAGTAACTTCTAATATCTTTTTACACTTAAATTTGTATATAATTTGATCACCTTGAATCAGGTGACGGCTCACATTGCCCTTCTCGTGTATCGTCTCAACGGCCGATACTGTATTCTAGTTGTTATTACATCGGGATACTCGCCGGGCGGTGAAAGAGTCCGGACTGCGAACCTCGAGGCATTAGCGCGACCATTATCCGACGTTACTCCATCGCTGCCGTTTAATTATCGTCATCACTGACATTAGCATTGATGGCTGTTTGCGCTCCGTTACGACGTTACCTCTCCCGGCAATTACTCTCGTTGTGATTATAACTGTTGCTCACAGTCATTGTTGAACCGTCGATCGAAAGGAAATCGCGCGCCCTTATCTCTCGGCTTATCGCCGCGCATTAAAGCGAGCGAGACCTTGGAATTATCTCAGGGTAAACATTTTTAATCGGGTGATACGGATTAAAGAGTACGGCGCGGCTTAAAGTTTCACGTGCAGGCCGGATTCCAGGTGTTAAAGGGAAACTGCGGTGTAATCGCGGTTAAAGCGCGAGCACATCGCCGCGAAGCGCAGGTACGTGTTTCGAGATACATTATCTTCCCCGCGGATTGTCGCGTCTGTCCTGAGCGTCGGATTAACAGACTTTGACCCAGATGGAGTAATGACAATCGCGTAAAAGTGTAGCGAGACTCGCGACTAATGCGATAAGCTAAGTAACGCATTGTTTCTCCGCCTTAGTCTGATATTATATTTGTCGTGCGACAAACTTTCCAAGCGTGTCGATTGGCTGCAGAATAGAAAAGAGAAATTATCTATTCTGCAGCCAATCGACACGCTTGAAAAACTTGTCGCACGACAAATGTAATGTTACCCTTAGGCTGGTATTACATTCGTTTGACAAATTTTTCAAGCGTGTCGATTGGCTGCAGAATAGAAAAGTTCTTGAGTCTCTAAAAATTGTTTATTTCTCAAGCGTATTGATTGGCCGCAGGGTAGAAAAGTTCTCGAGTATCTAGACATTTTTTAGCTTGTAGCCAATCAACGCGCTTAAAAAGTTTTTCGTACGACAAACGTAATATTACCCTAAGGGCCTGAGCAGAATGGCTGTCTTGTACTCTTAAGGCATAGGACAGTTATTGTGCGTTACCTCAAGACAAAGGCTTAAAACATAAAACATTGTATTCACGATTTTCAGAAAGATTTAAGATTTGCAAGTTGGGCTACCTACATCTTGCCTTGTGACCCACATTGGCTTGTTACCATATATTGTTTAATAAAACACTGTCTTAAGACTTTCTTAAGAGTATAAGACAGCCATTCTGCTCGGGCCCTTAGGCTGGTATTACATTCGTCCTATTACATTTGTCGTACGACAAATTTTTCAAGCGTGTTGACTGGCCGCAGGATAGAAAAGTTGTCGAGTATCTGGAAATTTTCTAGCTTGTAGCCAATCAACGCGCTTAAAAGATTTGTCGTACGACAAATGTAACAGGAGACCCTTACCAGTTCGAGGCAGAAAACTTGGTATTTAATCAACGGTGCCGTTAATTTCACCAATTACCGAATGAATTATCGTCTCTCATCTCGTGTAGAGGGTGTCCTAATCTCCTCCACGGCCTTCCACTCACGAGTTTCTTGATAAGCTTGATTCTCGCGCGACTTTTCCCGAGTGAAACATTTATTACGCGCCATTTCCGGCTTTTAACGTCGAACACCCTCGATTTGGGCCGCGTTCGGAAATATCGCCCGCGTGTCCGAATGGATCATTTTCTCCTTGTTTCCCACAGAATGTTAAATAACGGTCTCTCAGCAGTCCTCTCGGTTACGGCATTCCTGTACGCGAGATCCACAACCGCGAGAGCAGTGTTACCTCTCGAACAATGCTCCTTTCTGTCTCACTTGACGAGTTTGTTTGATCCTGCGAGACACCGCGTGCTATTTGATTGGATCAATTCGGATCGAAGAAAGTGAAGTCAAGATTTTTGTCGAAACTTAAGCCAACGGCACACGATACTATTTTACCTACTGGATTGTTTGCGAGAGCCAGTCAGGGTTTAGTTTCATGTCAGCTGATCTAAAACTCTGCCTCCTTATCTCGGTTCTCGTGAGCAATCCGGTAGGAAAATAGTATCATGTGCCGTTGTCTTTACTCGCGACCATGAAGTTCGCTTATCAACCGAATTGGCGCTCTCTCTCTCTCTTCTCCGCCGAAGGGTCCATGTTATATCGTCGGCGTGCTACTATTTTTCCTACTGGATTGTTTACGAGAGCCAATCAGGGTTTAGGCTTACGTCAGCTAATCTAAAACTCCGCATCCTTATCGGTTCTCGTGGGCAATCCAGTAGGGAAAATAGTATCGTGTGCCCGTTGTCTTTACTCGCGACCATGAAGTTCGCTTATCAACCAAATTCGCTCCTTCTCTCTCTTCTCCGCCGAAGGGTTCACGTTATATCGGCGGCGTGCTACTTTGACAGCAGATCGACAGACGTAAACAGCCGAGCGTGTACGTGATTTGCATATCTATTCGCATCTCTCTCCCCCCCCCCTCTCTCTCTCCTCTCTCTCTCTCTCTCTCTCGCTCGCGGTTTGCCGCTTATATCGCTCTTGGCTCTGACCTTAATTTACGGCCCGTGGCCGCCGACGTGGAAGACTCATTCGCGCGAACGAGCGAGCTTTTCGGCATGCTCGCGCACCTGGCGACGTTATTTATCGACGCGCCTAAATCCGTCGCGGCGGCGACGCGACGACGACGACGACGACGACGACGACGACGACGACGTGTGTCGACATGCACCGCGTTACATCGTACTCGGTCCCTATTATCGCCGAGGTAAGGCACGACGGCTTGTCGATATTACCGATAAATCGGACCCGGCTGGCACACGCTTCTCGCATTAGCCTGCGCTCGCGACGTTATTCGGGGGTTCTATTTACGTTGGCTGTCGGGAATTATTGGCGCCTTTTGTTACGCACTCCAACGCGCCGAGGTTCCGCCGTCCCGAAATCGGATCTCCCCTTGAGACTCGTCCCGCGCGAAATACTTTTACGTGTGATACATTGGACACTCCTTTCCGTACCGCTACCGTAAAAATCCTGATAGGCTAACTAAAATACCAAATGTAGAAAATTAGTAGGAATTTTTGTAAGTTTTCTGTAAAGAGACAAAAAGTAATGAAGGGTCTTTGAGTGAATGCTTGAAAAACTGTCTTTTTTCGATAAGTGGAATATGTTTTCATGGAAATATGATTCGTATTATTGTATATAATTATTTTACACGGAGAGAATCTGTCCTGAAAATCAAGTAATTGTGGGACGACGTGGCATTTCGAAGAATTTTGAGTTTACTAGTAAAACGTATGGAAAAATTTCAAGAAAACTCTTATAAGGTTCTTTAGAATGCCACGTTGTCTTACGATTACGTGATTTCCAGGATGAATTTTACGAGAAAATTCTTTCCGTGTAGATGTGTAGTTAAAAAAATTCAATTACGTCAGGTTTAATAATTAATTATACTATGCATGGAAGGTTAAGGACTCCGGAGAGAATACTTTTGTCCGTGATCGATGCAGTCTGCGATCTGTGCGAGAAAAAAACTTGTAATGTCGCATGGATGGCGCGCGGAGGAATCGCAGAATAATTTTATGGACGTTGCAGCGCTTTGCTTTATTTGACGAGAAGGAATAATTCATTCGATTGCATATCCAAGCGAGGCGCGGTATCGATCTACCGCTCGCGACCGTCGCGGGGGAGCGATAATTCAGAAAAAATTAATAAAGTATACAACGCGATTGAAACTTCCGTTTCAATCGTTTCGACACGGCTGAAATATCACGCGTTAATTACACCCGACTTGTACAACCAGATGAAATTAATCACGGAGAGAGCGAAAACGTTCCAATTCTTCTTTGCCTTCGACACGTAAGCGGTCTCTCACCTGTCGACCCGATGGGGGTTTTTCATCAAATTTTGATGAGAAAAAGATTGATCCGAAAGATTTAATGAATTTCAGAGATTTAAGAGATTACTTTGGAGGATATGCATGCGTCGTGTTTGAAATTTACTCTTGTCCTTTTAACCATAAATGTTGCTAGCTGAACTAACCGGAATAGAATTATTTTCAATCGGCTCATTGATTTGTATGAAAATTAAGCAATTTAAATGATTTAATACACATTTTTGCAGCTTTTAACAAAACTTCATTTTATATACTTGACAAAAGACGAATTCGTTCTAATTGTTATCAGCTCGCGGTTAATTTCGAGAAACAGCGCGATATCGACGGACCTGCGGACCTTGCATACGCGATATCACTTTATTAAAATTATGTTGAGCGATAATGCACGCGCGCGTGCCGTCGCTCTTGGCTGCGAAACAACCGATGTTCAGCAGCAATCGGACAATCGCTGGTTGGACCGGTTAGTGGTTTATCCGCCGTGTTTGCCACCTCGATAACGCGTGTTTAGCTCACACATATCCCCTGATATTTCGCTTGTGAATTGCAAATTGATCACATGCTTTACGCTTTATTTGTCTTCGCATCAGGATCGTCTTTTTCCGTTTAACGACGCGTGGCAAGTAGGAAAAGTCTAGATCGTCGATACACACGATAAGGTCTGATATTTTTACTGTTTATTAAAATGCATCGAATCAAGTGGACGAAGGACGATAATAAATTTGTATTAAATGAGATTAACAATTATATATTATAATTACTCACTTTTACCCGTGACATTTTAATCGTTGCACAAAGTACATAGCCTTCTGCGATTCCTGCACTGACAAAAACATTTTTTTAAACCAAGTGAATAGATTCACATAAAATTATTTTTTACCGAAGTAAATATTTATTCCATTTTAATAAAAATATCAAATTTCAAGTAAATCTGCACTATATTAAGTAAATTAACATTTTCTACATTCAACTAAAGATTTCATGAGACAGAGAATACTATTTATTAAATGAAATCATTGTTTTTGTCAAATAAGAAATTCAATTTTCTTCACTGTAAAACTTATATCTTACAATTAGTAAACATTTTATAGAATTAAAGTAAAATTTTTTTAAATTCAAAATTATTTACTCTTCGATATTTAATAAATACTCAAATTAAAGAGTTGCATGTTTTTATTTGTTTATTATTTTTCAAATTTAAGTTAATGAGCTATTAGGAGCCACCTAATGAACAATTTTCTTGAGCGAAGTAATATTTTTTATCAGTGTAGTCTTAATATTTTTAAATCGAGTGTGTGCACGTACACGAAGCAACGTGCCAAAAATTTTTCCCGATTGCAGCGTGCTGCCATCTCATGCTTTCCGCGTTTTCATCCCCGTATCGTGACCCTATCGAACGAGGTCACGCGCGTGTTTGAGCACTCGCTCGCTGGAGGAACGCGAGCAAGCTGTCTGTCCTCTCTTTTGCATTAGGCCGCAAGAAATTCTGTTTCCCGTTAATCTTTGAGAGGATCCTTTTATCTTAAAAAGCCGCGCGCGAATATCTCTGGATCGCCTGAACGCATTTTAAGAATTCTGAGCCTTTTTAAAGAGCAGTCGTAAGCTTTCTGTGTACACTCCTCCAGTGGCCTATTTTCAGATAATTATTAAATATTGAAGGTATGTTGGTACAGTCACGAAGCATAAATTGAGCCTCGTTTGTGATTTGTTTGTAGACGAAATTAACGTTATTATGCGAATAAAACTCGCAGAATTGAGAGAAATGAATTAACTACATTTATATACTGCGTTGCAACTGCACTGAATGTTGAACTCTGTATTTTTAGAAACTACTTCGTTATTAGT